GTGTCCCTGGCTGCAGGAGCTCTAATGGCAGCCTGGTACTAGCAGTCACTTTTTCCCTTCCCCACAAAGGATGAATATGAAAGCTCTTTTAAGGGTTAGATAGTAAACTACCATCTTCTCTTCCTCTAGCTATGACCAAATGAGCGCAGATAACAAGAGAATAACACTTTTGGGTGAAGGATTAGTCAATAACCTGCTCTTATGCAAAGGATGGCAGAAACCTTTACGGCTGCAGCTACCTAGGAAGCCAACAGCATTTCATACACTAGCACAGAAAGGTAGCGAGTAATCAAAAAAAGCACACATATTACCTGTGACCTTTGTGGTCGTCATCAGCTTCTGGGAGCTCAGAGTGGGACTGGGAAAGAGCATTCTGGCTTCCTCCTCCTGAGAGTAGTTCTGCCGCAGGAATGATGTTGCCTCGTAGCACACCTCCCTCTCGTCCTGTACCTCTCCTATACCTTGGCAGTGCAGGTAAGTATCTAGCTCAGGTGTTCCATCCCAGGAACTACAGCCTCCTGTGTGGGTCCCTTGGCACTCTGTAGGTAGGATCAGCTCACAGTCTCTGTCTTCAGGAATTATGGGAATGCGTTGACCCAGATCACATACACCCTTACAGCAGCTTGGCAAGGTGTCATCAGGAAGCGTGTACTGCACATTCACTGCATAGTCTTCTGTATAGCAGCCACCACCTCCACTGCCACTGTTGCTACTACAGGCTAAACACCTCTCTTTCCCCCTCCCCTGCCACTGTTGCTACTACAGGCTACCTGCTTCTCTTCATAGAAGCAGCAGGGCAACCCCTCATATTTTACCCCATCTGTCCTATGCAAGTGGTCTGAATTAATACTGTACAAGCCCGGGGTGTTCCCTGACTGTGGTTCTATTCCTGGGCCACACGTCCCCCACAGCGGAGAGCTAAGGAAGAGTGCACTACAGTCAGCTGTCCCATTGCTAGGCTCCAGGACAGAGTGCTGGAGTTCAAAGCAGCATGCGCATGCTTGCTCCATAAGCGGCTCTGCCGTCTCTGGATTCTTCCAGTTCCTTTTAACATCCAAGGCAGCACCAGCAGTGGCCTCATGTCCTCCCTCTGAGGTAGTGCCATTTGGATCCCTGTGCTCTAGTGAGGAATTACTGCTATAGTTCATATCCATGCTGCAATTAGACAGTTGGTCCCCTGAGGAAGAAGCTGGCACAGGCCTGCAGTCAGCACCCACCAGACTGTGACCATGAGCTGGAAGCTCGTCCTGGTGGGGGCCCTCCAAGAGAACAATTGCACCCCTGTTTGCACCACCAACCTCACCCGCTCGGCAAGGGCTCTTACTGCGGTAAACGTACGGGTCATAGTCACTGCTCAAAGAGCTGCGAAAGGTGGAGCAGCTCCCGTAAACCCCTTGGTTGCTGACCTCAGTGCAGTCAACCATGGAATCACTAGAGGAGCAGTGGCACTGACCAGAACTGCTGCTGCTGCTGTCACTCCCAGGGCAGTCAGCCAAATATCCACTGCACACTGAACGATGACCATGATAGCAGCTAAAGCTGGAGGTACTGCCACTCTCCAAGCGGGATGAGGGCACTACATGTACCACAGGGGGGAAAAGCATGCTGCTACCAGGCTGAAAGGCACGGGAAGGACCCTTTGAGGAAATGCCAGCTGGAGGCTGTCCATCTTGCTCAGGGTAACTAAGGCCTTGGAAGTAGTAGTGCTGATACATGGTCTCATATTGGGAAAAGCACGCTGCTTTGGAAAAGTTGCGCCCACCAAACTTGGGTCTTCGGAAGTTGTGAGCTGGAGAGTAAGCCCTATGTTCCAGGCTACAGTGATGCGTGTTTAAAGCATGGTCCAAATGAATAGGCTGATAACTTCGGATATAGGCTGGGGACTGGGCTTGGTAGAGGCTCTGTTCACCATGTCGCTCAACTGTAAGTACTGTGATAGGGTTTCCATGAGGGTCCATGCTTGTCCGAGTGGGATATGCTGTTATCTGGTTTGCTCTGTGCACTCGGCCTGGGTAATGGACAGGCAGAATCACCCTCTGCTGCCGGCTCCGTGCTGGGTTGATGGATTCCAGACAGACTGGACCTGCATTTCCCTTCTTCTGTTCTGAATGAGAGAAGTAAGAGTGGAGAAGTAGGAGGGAATAAAAAAGAATACGCTTTATGCAAGAAATAAGTACATTTTGTTCTGAATTTAGTTACATTACGCACATAAGAGAGTTTTAAAAAAAAGCACCAACTTTTTACACAGAAGGAAAAATAACAAAACAAACAAAGTAAGCCAAGAGCATCTGCCTGGAAGCCTTTGAAACACTCAATTGTATATTCTTTAAAAAGGAAAACAAGTGATTTCAGATACTGTTCTCATATATGCAAAACCTTCTGCTTACACAGCATTCCTGGACTTACAGGTTAAAAGCAAGGCTGGCAGTCATTGCTCAAGTTTTTACTTTACACGTTATTTTACGTAAATGTGTATTAATAGAAAACTTTTTCAAAACAGAGGAAGTGGAAGTGGGAGAAGGCAAGTAAGGGAAACCACATTCCAAGTTACAACACATGGAAAAATAAAAAACAATACATTGTCCTTTCTTTATAATTACCAAAAGAAAACATACCCATTTGTCCTCCTTGCATTCAGATGCTGACCAACGCTGCCCTCTTCTGGGCATCACACCCAGAATGAGGGAAAACCAGAAATGTGACCTGTTATTCCAGGGCATGCAGTCATTTTCAAAGAACTTAGTCCTAACTGTATTTCTAGGGTTGCGTTACAATAAAGACTATGGGCTCTATGGAGATTTACAAACAGGCACAATTTCTGTTTCATCTTGTAAGCTGCTAAGTCTGAAATGGATGACGCAACAGAGCATCTGTACTGTAGCACTTACCTATGATGTTATGGCGGCAGTGAGGGCAGGTATGATGCTGCAGTAGCCAAGGGTCCACACATTTCTTATGAAATCGGTGAGTGCAGGGAATGACACGCAGTTCCTACAGGAACAGATGAAGGAACATTAAAAAGTACTCCTTCCTCATGAGTGAATTTTTTACAGCTTATTTGTAGTTTTTTCAACCTGGCTACTAAACAGATAATTCCTAGTCTCGAAGTGGTAATAAGGAAAAAAATGCCATCTGTTCCAACACAGCCAAAAGCACAACAGCTAGTGATCAGCTGTCACTAAAAGAATAGTCTGCAGGCATGTTAGAACTCCATGCAGATATATTGCATTTCTTTAGGACACTTTTTGCTGTGTGTCCCTATGACGTAACACCTTGAAGGAGACCATCATTAAAGTTTTCTTTAATGTATTAAATGAACTTTAAAAAAAATTATCAATAGAGTCCATTTAATGATGCATCTTGCCTACAACTACTAGCAATAGCAAACACCCAGGGAAAAACAAAACCAACAGTGTATATGATACTTTTTCCCTTTCCCAGCACTCTCATCCTTCAGCTATTATCTGTTAAGCATTGGAACAGGCTGCCCAGAGAGGTGGTGGAGTCACCATCCCTGGAAGTGTTCAAAAAATGGGTAGACGTGGCACTTTGGGACATGGTTTACTGGGCATGGTGCTGTTGGGTTGACAGTTGGACTGATGATCTTAGAGATCTTTTCCAGTCTTCATGGTTCCTAGTTTTTACTTTCATTATAAATAATCCAGCCACCAAGCCAGGAAACATGAAATTGCTACTCTACCTTTAATTGGTTTAGTGGTGGACTTGGTAATGTTAGGCTAATGGTTGGACTGGATGATCTTAAAGGTCTTTTCCAACCTAAACGATTCTATGATTCTATGTTTACAGGATTTCCTGAGCCTGCTGGGTATCTACCAGTTCAGACACCTGCAACAGATCTTTCTTCCAAGTACCGCTCAAGTCTCCCCATGGGCTCAGGTTCTGAATTTGTAACATGCTTTGGCAAGAAGTTTCACAGGACTACCACCTGCTGGTGGAGAAACACCACATTTTGATTCAGATTGGGTCCTAGCAGTTTCTTTTAATTGCACCCAATCTTGGAAAAAAAAAGAACGTCTGATTCCTGTTCGTGCTCTCCATTCATGATTTTGTACTCCCTCTGCCCCCAAGTCATCTAGGACTAAACAGTCCTAGCCCACTCAGTCATTTTTTTGTACAGAAAGCATTCCAAATCTTTGATCACTTTGCGATTGCCCTTTTCCAAATCACCTTCATTTCCAACATATTTTTTGTGAAATGAAATCAGAAGTACACACAGTACTCAATGTGAGAGCATGACTGAACTTACACAGTGGTGTAATTATGTTTTCTGATCACTTCTCTAGATTCCCCCTTCTCATTTCTAATATCTGATTCGCCTTTTTGCCTGCCACAAAGCACCGATCTGCTTTCACAAAGCTATCTAAACCAGCTTCAAGATCTTGCTCCTGAACAGTAATGCTCACCTCACAACCCATCACTAATACATGTGAAGCTCTTCCCTGTGTATATCACTTCATGCTGAAGTTCATGCATGCATTTCCTGTCCAGTCAGTTTTGTACAGCCCTTCTGAAGTTCTTGTCTGCCTTCATCCTTGCTACTCTGAATAACTTCCCATCAGCTAACTTCATTAACTTTGTTTGTAGCTTGTAGCACTCAAATACTGCAGCTGGTGTTTTCTAGTGCCTTAAAAATGAGGAATCTTTTATGAATAATTTCAAAATAAAATGTCGTCAAATATTTTTTTATATGGGACTTCAAAGCTGTATCGACTGCCTCTATTCTAAGGAGCCTATTTCCTATTTCATCCTTTCATTGTTTCCTCTGGGTAGAACTGTGTGACAGAAGGCAAGAACTAACATCAATGCAGCGATGGTAACTGAGGAGTCAAAAAATGGTTCCTGAACCTTTTGGCATCTCTTCCTTCTCCTCCTCTGGTTTCCCAGCAGTGCTGTGTACCTGACATTTTAAAGACAAGGTGCCATCAAAGCCTGAGAAGTGGAACACGAAATGTATCCCTTATGTCCAACAGAGCTTGCATGCATCATCACCTTGGCACACAATTTGTTAAAAATACCCAGAGAACTAAATGCTGAGGTAACCCTGCCTTCTTTATGAGTTCTTCCTCAGAAAAGCAACTTGATAGAGGCAGCAACTTTCAGAATGAGATCCCTCACCTCTCACTTTGTAGTTTGGGGAAAAGCCCTTGAGATTTCTTTGGGAGCTGCAGAATGCAGTTGAGGCTGAGTTGGCTACTCAATGCAATCAGCCTGGCAAGCGGCACAACCTCAGTACGTAACGTACCCAACAGCCAGCCACATACCACAGTGCTAAAATAAACCAGCTACATTCTCAGCCCATGCTGAAGAAACCATTTATCCTTTACCTCCCCATCAATGTACTTCTCCAAGCAGATGGCACAGTCAGAGGTGGAGCTGCTACTGAGTGTGTCCAGTGCTCCACAGCTACCTTCCCGGTGTCCCTTACTTTTGGACTTAAACTTCCTGGTCTCCATTTTTTCCAGTGCTTGCACTGCAAGCCTGTTCATGGAATTCTACAACAGAAGAAAGAAAAAAAAAAAAGAAAAGAAAAAAAAAGGCAACGCTGCTGCATAAGGGACTGTAGTGTAGTAGCAGAGAAACACCACCATATCGAATTAATGTATCTTACCAAATCACGTCAGACTAATGTACCATTCCATAAATTAAGCGGAGAGGCTAATTAGAATTCAGATCAGAAGCCTCATGAAAAGAATGTATGCCACGTGCAGTACTGAGAATGATAAGCTACTTTGAATTGAAACAGGGTGAAGGTGCTGACAATTGGGATACGCTGCAACTGCTCAATTAATAGGCAGCAACTATTCAAGGCAACATATAAGACTTGGTCAGGAACTTTTTTTGAACTGTCAATATTGACTGTAATGCCCCATTATGTTGTTACCACCGTATTACCAGACGCAATGCTTGAGAGAGGGATTAAAATGAAATGCTACTGAATTAGCTGCATCATTTCCTACTCCCCCTGAATTTAATCAATAGTAGAAGTTTAGGAAGGCAGTGGGTTGTTTTCATTTTACTACAGAACTTATCATCCCCCCTTTTAACACTGTATTTTAACACTGCTGTTGGCCCATAACATCTTCAGATGCCTACACAGTATGTCTAAAGCAAGAGTCCTAAGCATCTACAATGCTCTGCATTCCTTTTACATGAATATACCGGACAGTTTACAACTACAAACTTCAGAGTCCATTAGCTTCCATTTGCTTTCCCTTTCATATTTGACAGGACAAACTTGAAGTATCTCACCTAGAATTTCTCCTAACCAAACTTTTTACCTTGCAAACCTGTCCCATTAAGAATCAATAGATGTTATTCTATTGAAGAAAGTTGCATTTTCAGTCCTGATATTCTCTCCACAATACAGCAACAAGAGCTTGGACTTCTTTAGAAGTATACCAGTGCTACTGATAATCAACCTCTGAACAACCAGAAATGTTCTTCCTTCCCAATGGCTAAATGGACTGCTTCCATACTCTTTTCATTTCAGGATTTAACTGAAAGAACATCACAGGTCAATGTAGATCTCCTTTAAAGACACTTCCAAATTTTTCCAGAGGCCTACATCCATGGATGTAGGATTCACTTTCCACAAAGGTGGCTATTCTAAGTCAGTGTCTGGCATTTCCAAAAGTAGTGAGCAAGTTCTTGGACAAAGTCAGAGAAGCTAACTTTCAGCATTCAGTGAATATCCCATTACTGCTCTTACCTGACTACGTCGCTGTTTCAGTTTGATCTTGACAAGAAGAATGAGGCAAACAAGAGACACAACCACAAAGAAGGCCAGGAAAATTCCCATATCAAAGTATTCAGTGGGTTGCTTAAAAATTAAAACAAAAATATTATTTTTCCTTTCTTTAGATCATACTCAAATCTCTTGTTCTTTTCTCTTCTCTACTTTCTCAGTGGTCACTGTCAAATGTACACAGTCACAATGGCAAAAGTCAGAGTATACACTGTTCTGTTCATTAACTAGGATTCTATGAGACAAAACCTGGATTTCATATGTCACTGCAAGTGAATGAAATACACAGAATGCCAGTCACAAGATGGCAGATTTACAGTGTCTCTGAACTGATCCCACAAAACCCAGGTTTTTTAACTGAGTGAATCACACTAACACAAATTTTCATGATTTATTGGTTTGCTTGTATGCTTAAGCAAGTGAAAATCAACATTTGAATTTTCAGTGAATGGCCCACTTCTCAAATACATTTCTTAACAGAAGAATTCCATAAAAATACAACAAAACTAAAGTGGTAACTGGGACATGGATGACCTCTAGCTTTGTTCTTCTTCTGTAAACTACATGTAGAGACTGTTCAAAGAAAGCTCTAGAAAAACTATTTTATATTACAATTACAAATATTGGATATCACATAATTAACCCATGTTTAAAATACCACACAGAATTATTAGTTAACACAGGGCAGACTACCTTAGAAATCTGAACTACCATGAGTGTGCAATAATAAAGATATTTAATTAAGAAAAAGGAAAACTTCTATTATATAAAATTTTTAGCCATTTATATATTCAAAAGAATCCTTATGAAAGACAGCAGATGCCACATTGTGGATTCTATACTTACATCAAGTGTAGCTGCTTGTCCACAGTGCAGTTGCTCAATTTATTTAGGTCAACAGAATTTCACATGTATTAATGCTCACGGGGAGCATCAAAACATCTTCACACTCAGTGCAGCTAGCAAGCACTGCATGAAGTAACAGCAGTGTAATACCTAGAAAAAGTTTCTTAATGTCTCACCCGTGGGGGGCGATGCTGAATCCTTGCTCGTGCCACTTTCTGCTTGTTAACTATGTTCATTAGCTTGACAGCATCAGCACCCTTCACATACACCACTGGTCTCTTCAGAGGGTCCTCTGAGCCCTGGTTCAGCTAGAACAACAACAACAACAAAAATCTACTCAAAAGGCATGTTTCAGGAAAACTACCTCTCTTTTGGACAATGGAGAGAAGAGTAAAGGAATATGAATGTGGATGGAATTGATTCAAGCACCAATTGTTCTCTTCTAGCACAGACCTTCACTTAAGTATTCCACAGAGTTAAACCTGAATTAAATTTTTGACTTAAGCTGCTTTTTTCTACTGACCAAAACTAAGATGAAGGATAAGCAAATGTTATTTCTGAACAGCAGCTTTAACTTAACTACATTATGTGCCAGTGCATATATTAATACTGTAATAAGTTAAACCTCATAATGAAGAGGAATAAAAATCTGCACGTTCCAAAACAATTGGCCTTGCGACATTTTCTGAACATTTTGTTATTTCAACTTTGTAGTTACATTATTCACATACAAATTTCTTCAGCTTTCTGAACAATCTCATGTCAGAGTCCTGCCTTTCAGACTCTTTGTACCTAGCCAATTTATTGAAGTCTGTAATTTCTGCTGTTTAACTCATTCAAACAGTTACCTGGGTTCTAGCAACCACCAGAGCTATTGATTGCAGGATGGGGGCCTCAAAGACTAAAGCACAAGGGTAGATAGCTTAATTCACCCTGAAACTTCCTTCCAGGTCCAGCTAAGTTTTTTTGAAAGGCCAAATCATACAATCAGAAAACAATGTGGGTGGAAGGCACCCCATGAGTCCAACCTCCTGGTCAAGGCAGGGTCAACTATGACATCACACCAGGCTGCTCAGGGCTTTATCCAGTCAGATGTTGAAAACCTTCAAGTGTGGAGACTGCATAACTTCTCTGGCCAACAAATCCAGAAAAACAACGTGCTAAACTATATACCAGAGAGGGGAATAACAAGACAAGAGAATGGTTCTGTTACAAAATGTCACCAACATGATAAATTCATATAGCTTATTCCGACCCACAAGAAAAATCCTAGTATAGAGGCTGGTTGATACAAAATCAGCAAGGCACTGACAAGCAGATGGAAATGGTACAGGGGAAAGGAATGAGGTGACAGGAGTGTGAGCAAATTGAACAAGAGTAGCATATGGCAGAGATACCATATCTACATTGTTGATCTCTACCTGTTGTTTCTGGCTAAAACATGTAGAAGTTACCGACTGACTGGTCTATCACTTTCCTTACAAAGTACTCTACTCCATCCATCCGGATGATGGTGACAGGTTTCATTGAGACTTTAAAACAGATTCTTCCTAGTATTTGACTGGGCTTCTGAGAACACTGATCAAACTATTTTTAAGACAGATGTCTTTTGAAGAGCTAAAAACTAGCTGAAGTACTTGAATCCAACCCAGGGATCCTATGTGTCCACAAGGCTTGCTGGCCTAAGGCCAAATCCACTGTCCCTAAGTTCCCAGACATACATTCTCTCTCGAGCTTCCTCGACTAAGAAAGCATTCACCTGGCTCCTCAGTAGCTTTTGCACACTGCCAGACTTTTGCTAAACATGATGCTCTGGGTGCTGTTACTCCTCTTCAAACTAGACAAAAGTAAAACTAAGAAACAAATCAGACTTCACAGAGCATTTCTAAAAATAAAAGTTTCATTCTTAGTCTACAGCAGAAGACACTCAGATCAATGGGAATAAAACCCCACAAAATCTGTGTGTAAAGACCTTTCATTTGGTAGCAATTCTGCTACCAAATTTTCCGAGGACAATTCTTCTCCTCGTCAGACCTGCTTCCTACTTCTGTTCATTGACTGGCAGGAAGGATCGCCTTTCATAATACTCCATTCCTCCCTTTCAAAGCACTCTCCCCGAGTTGTTCTATTGCTTGGTAACAAGCATACCTGGGAAAGCCTCCTAAACAGCTCCCCTCAGTGTCTTAGGATACTTCCATTTGAATCAAAGATACTCCAGGTTAACCGATGTCAGTTTTTCCTCCATTGTTATCCATCTGTCATTGTTTTCCACAATTCCACAGTGCCAAAATGGTATTTATTTTAAAAACAAATTAATTAGTATCCCCTCATGTCGAGGGTTCTGAAGACTTTGGCTGAGAATCAAAATGCATGAAACACAAGTGTCCAGAGTAGCATGAGAAGGGAGCCCATCAAGTAACTCTTATGCTTAGAGTACGAAAGCTAGGTCTAGTCATTCCTCTCCTGTTCATGAGTGTTTGCATAGACTGCTGCTCTGTCCTCTAACAGAGCCTTCTTTGTCAGCTCCTGCACTAAGCCACTAACCTCCTTCCATTTTACTGGTACACCCAAAATATTAAATCATCCACTAGGCTAGTTTCCCAGCTATTGGGGACAGTTGCACCCAGTTTATTATCAAGAATCAAGGAAGGACAGCTGTTGCTGGTAGAGGGAAGAGAACAAGATGCAGTAACTCAGCTTCGCAAGTTCAGAGTGGGGTGGCTGAAAGTAACTGGAAGCTGCAATACAGAGAAAAAACTGGAAAAAGACAGATTACATCTTTGTGCAGATAATTTTTCTGTGTATAAAAGGGGAAAAAACATCCCTGAGAATGTTTGCAACTTCAAGGCTGTAGCCTTGATGCACATGCAAAGCACAGTTCTCAAAGCATCCATTGCACAGGGTCTGCATTCCTTTGTCCAACAGATGCTCATTTCAGAACTAAAGCCAGCTTTTTAAATGTAAACACTGATGGTCTCTCTTTTCCCCAAGAAATTCAGGCTGCATTTAAAAACATTCAGCTTCACTTGTTTCTGCTGTAGCAGAAACAGCAATTTTGTTTCAAGACAAAACAAAACTAAACCAAATACGGACTATTTTTGTGCTTGTTATGTTTCTTCTCTCTACTCAAATAACTCGGAATTGGCTGGAAGGATCTTGTCAAAGCATTTCACAGAGCTATTACCTCACCCACTTCAAATGAAAAGATGGAAGTTGTACCGAGACCCCCAAAAAAGAAAAACCCAAAATAAAACACAAAATGTCCACAAAATACATAGGCCAGAAATCATCAGCTGTGAAGAAGAAAGAAATGTTTGGAAGTTTTATAAGAATCTTGTTTAGAACCAGGTTTGAAAGCCATTTTGCAACCTCAAAAATAGCAGCTGCTCAACAATACTATCGATCACAAGCTGGGTAGGGCCAAACACCCTGTGTTTTGTACACAGAGCTGGGCAAAGAAAACCTCCTTGACTCAGTAATGGGCCACAAAAAATTTGCCTCCATCCTGTCTCAAAACCTCAATCCCAGACCTGGATTCTGGATTCTAGCAAAGGCTAGAAGGAAAACATAACTCCCCAAACTTTTCTCTTTCTCCCACGTTATCAACACCTCCATTGCTTCTTGCCTGCCAGCAGATGAGCAGGAAAACCACAGCACCATGTTACCCAGGGTCAGCAGCTGCACGTCTTAAAGTAGGCGTGCTCCGAGACCTGTATGCTCTTAAGTCTTGCCTCAACAGCCCTAAAAGAACCCAACAGAGGCTGTAATAAAACTAGGCTCCCTTCTTCATACCTGATCAATGGCATCTGGGTTTTCAGAAACATCAAAGATGACGGCTGTGGCTCCTCGCTGTACTGCTCGTTTTGCCTGCAATAAGAAAGACAGCATCCTCAGTCCCACCCCAAAAGATGACTTCTTACCTCAAAAATGACTCCCTCTCCAGATAGCAAACTTAACATTTTGTGTTTCTGTGTAGTTAAAACAAATGACAGAGTAATTACAAACACAGGAGTTCCTGAACCACCATGGAATGTTACTAATCTTCACTACAGCTTCTACAATGTCTCTGCCCCTTCCTTCTCAAAATCCTCCTTCAACAAGCTTTTAAAGGAATTCAAATATGATTTAAACCCTCTAAAGACTTTAAATATAAGAATTTTTAAAAATTAAATTATGTTCTTTTTCTCCATGTTACTTGGAAGTGCCATTAAAAACAATCTTCCCTATGATTTGTGGTGGAGAGACAAGCTCACTACTGTAGGAAATAAAGGTGAACCAGGTTCTTTACACCTTTCCAGCATCATTCTCACAGTCACGACAAACTCTAGCTTCTTGCAATCCTTGCAAAAAGTGCCTCGGAGAATACCGCTCTTTCTGACCATTAGAGGTCAGAACTGTTGCATACAACACTTTGCACACAGATAATATCAGACCTATTTATATGCACAGCTTTTCATCAAACACACAGTCCAGACCTGGAGTTACCAACAGCACAGGGAGATATTAGGACGTATTAAAATCCTCTGGGATAGAGAAAACAGTACTTTAACCACCGACGCTAAGCCAAGGTATTTTTACCAGTTTCTGCCACTGTGCGTCTGTATGTTCTGTTCACATGCTGTTCAATGGCTCCACAGAGCAAACATTCCCAGTAACTTTTCAAAGCTGTGACCGCCTTTGTGGGATGCAGAATGCAAGTAACTATTTCTCCAAGTGGTGACAGCTATCACCATCACAGTACCAAACAAGAGGACACCAGCTCTTCATAGAGACTAGCAGAACCTGAACTTAAATTGAGATATAAAAGAAACATATTGAAGTGACAAATTATGAAATATCACTTAGTGTTTTCCAAGAATGTTGGCCAGTGCAGAGATGGTAGTTTGAACACCCACAGGTCACTTTCTTGGCTCTATTCTCACATTTTGTTTTTATTTTACATCAACCAAGCCCATCAGACAGTGCATGAGGGAAGCCAGCTCCCAAATGGGGTCTCTTTCTCAGCCCAGCAGGTATTTGTCCCCTTTGAAGTCAGCACAGCTGGCTAATCACTAATAGCTCTTGGGGAGGAAAAGTTAAAAGGAATCTGCTACACGTTCTCCACTGCAGTGGCCCCGAGGTGAAAGCTCACCCAGGTTTCCCAGGCACCTTTCGCAGACATGCAGCGCCCGTAGCACTCTTCCGGCCATTTAGACTGTTCTTTCAGGACGGTCAGTCAACAAGCAAGGCACTTTGATCTCTGAAGGTATTTTTAAAGATATTTTGCAACTTGGTTCAGAAAAAAAACCCGAATTTTGTGAACACACCGAGTGAGCAATTCATTAAGTTTCCACCACCAAGATGCCACCTGCACTCCTTACTTTGTATTGCAAAACCAGGTGTTAAGAGACGAAAAGCACCGAGTTCAAAAATCCTGCTGGAGAAGAGAACGGCAAGCGGGCAGGACCGTCCGCCGCCTCCCCCCTCCTGCAAACTTGCTGAGCTGGTGTA